TTATGGCACACATTAGATGTGCGTAGGGCAGTGGTGGCGAACCTGTGGCACGCGTGCCAGAGGCGGCACTCAGAGCCCTCTCTGTGGGCACGTGCGCCATGCCCCAGAGATGGCAACCGTCCTCTTCAACCAGCCGCCCGCTAACTTGCCGAGGTCCCACATGGCCAGATGCATCCCAGCACCCATGTGCTTGCTGGCCTTTGTGTGCGGGGGCCGATGGTGTCAGGCAGCAGCTGCCCCCGGCCCCTGCCTCGCCTTGCCTTGTGACATGGCATCCCCGCACTGCCTCGCCTCACCCCGCAGAACCAGCCTCCTGCCCACCGCCCCACCCGCCAGAGACCCCTGGATCTCCCCCAACCCTGCCTGGCCCCCACAGGCGTCCCTCCCCAGGAGCAACATCAAGCTGGCCATGCCCACCCATCTGCCATGACCACTATAGCCACGCCCACCCAGCGGGCCACACCCACACAACGGCCACAACGACCCGGCACCTGGCAATACATAAGTGGGTTTGGGGTTGAAGTTTGGGCACTTGGTCTCTAAAAGGTTCGCCATCACTGGCGTAGGGCCTTGCATCACTATGTGAAGCGAACTGAGCCTTTTCACAGGACGGAGGCACTGTTTGTGTCTTTCCAACCTTCTTCCAGGGGTCTGAAGGTGTCATCTTCAACCATTGGAAGGTTGATCAGAGCTTGCATCTCTTATGCTTATAAGGCTCAATCTCTTCCGGTTCCGGCAAACATCACAGCTCATTCTACGCGCAGCGCAGCCACGTCTGCGGCCTGGTCTACCCAGGCTTCGGTTGAGGAAATTTGTAGGGCAGCCACTTGGTCTTCCCCCTCTTCATTTATAAGGCATTACAAACTTGATCAGTTCGCTGCGGCAGATGCTTCGCCAGGAGGGTTTTGCAGCAGGTGGTTTCTTCTCATGAATCACAAGCCTAGACTTCCCTCCCGACGGGGACATGGGTGGCTTGGGTGTGTCCCATTGGTGGCGGCTATATCTATCATGCTGGAGAAGGGGCGTTGTCTTACCTGAACAACTTTTCTCAGCATGAAGATGTAGCCTCCACACCCGCCCTTGATAGTTGGTCTAGGCTGATTTTTTTTCAGGAGGAGTTGTTGTGTTAGACCGCATGGATGCTTCGCCTCGTCATCCAAAACTGGGAAAGGACCGCCCAAGGGAGGCGTGGCTAAAGTTTGGTCTTAGTCTAAACTGAGCAGGAAGGCTTTGATAACCCATTGGTGGAGGCTACATCTTCATGCTGAGAAAAGGCGTTCAGGTAAGACAACGCCCCTTTTTCTTTCTGGTGCGAAGCCAGCTCGCTGTCCTGTGGTGCACCTTGGGAAGCACGTGAGCGTGTCCTGCAACAGAGCTGGTAAATTGGCAGCCAAACTACTACTCTGCAATAACATTGTGATCTCCTGGCTAATGTAACAATGCCATATGCTAATAGTAACAACAACTCCCAGTGAGGCACTACCTTGACGTGGTTGTGGGACATGTGTGCTCTGAGGAAGATGAGAGCTATGCCAGAGGTTCAACCATACTGGACAGGTCTCATCAGAGGAGTCAGACAAAGAGTGTCTCTCCCATAAAAAATATGTTGAGACGTAAATTACAGAAATTTGTACAGGTGTGGTCCTTGCTCGGATTAACAAGGACCGCACTAGATATTGGAGTTCCTGGACATCTGGTGAAAAATGGGCTACAGGACTCAGGACTGTTGGCTAAGCAACCAGGACCAGCAGCTACAGAACTACTGGAAGAAAAGGTATTTACCGGTTGCAAATATACAGTAATTGAAAACAAAGAAACAATGATCTGTTATTACAGATCAAGTCCAACAAGAAGAGGATATTTGAAACTAATGCACCATTTCCTGAGAGAATAAATCTAGAATCAGAGATAACAGAACAGAGGCTAGCAGCTCAACATTGATTTATAATAACAAAATAAAGTATTCACCGAAGCAGAATTGGAAGAACTGCAAAGGTCTACCCAGGGCAAAGAAATCAAAGCCTTGCCAGAAGTAACTCAGACTGTAGAGGCAAACCAGGGGGAGTTGGCAGTAGAGGAATCCAGCAGAGATATTGAATTGTTTTCATTTGGAAACCAGGCACCCTCTCCTCCGCCTCAGAAAGAACAAAGCCCTCTAACTAAAGTAGAAGAACTGAAACAAAGAATAACTGAGCATCTAGAACAACACAAAAACATCAGAATAAGGCTGCCTGCATTGAAACATGTTCCAAAAAAACAGCTAGCACAAGCGTTAAAAGATGCCAATACTGCAATATCAAATATAAGCACCAACTCACTGCAAGAAACCAACCAACCAATGTACAGCACAGCTGTAGTTATAACTAAATACCTGGGGTGCAAAATCAATAAAGAAGAAAAAAAGCCAAACAGTGTGCCACCAAAATGGAAGATCAGCCTGGAAAATAAGATTAGCAAGCTGAGATCAGATGCAAGCAAGCTAGAACAGGTGAAAGTAAAAAAAGCTGAAGAAGACCAAAGAATCAAGAAATACCACTTAGGATCAAGGAAGCACTGGAAATAATAAAGCAGTAAATAACAGCTGTAGCCAAGAAGATCAGCAGATACAAAGCTTGAATTTGTGGGCAGAACCTCCAATTTCAATCAGAAACATTTCTACCAATCCATCACTGAAGTGAATTAGTCAGTACCTGAGAAGAAAAGAACAGCAGAGTTCTGGGCACAGATATGGGATAACCCAAAGAAATACAAGAAGAATGCAGCTTAGTTAAAGGAGGTAGATAAGAATAAAAAAGATTAAATGAAAGAATTTGTAATAACAGCAGAAATGGTGGAAAAAAGGGCAAGGAAGGTTAAGAATTGGTCAGCACCAGGTGAAGAATTTCATGGATTTTGGTTGAAACATCTGACTAGTCTACACCCACTTGTTGCTAAGCAGTTTAACAACATAGTGCAAGGAGGTGAAATTGAAAAGTGGCTAACATCTGGCAAAACCTACCTGATAATGAAAGATCCAGCAAAAGGGGCATCACCAGGCAACTACAGACCAATTACCTGCTTACCAACAACTTATAAATTGCTAACTGGTGTAATAGCTGATGCAGTCCAACAGCATCTAGTTGAAAATAAGCTCTCTTCACCTGAGCAGAAAGGAAACCACCCCAACAGCAGAGGAAGAAAAGATCAACTCCTAATTGACAAGATGATTCTGGAAAACTGCAAGAGAAGGAAGACCAACTTGAATGTAGCATGGATTGTTTACAGGAAGGCATTCGACTCCCTGCCACATGATTGAATAATTGAGTGCCTAGAAATAACAGGAGTCAGTAGAAATATCAGAAGCTTTGTGCAAAGATTGATAGCACAATGGAAGACACCGTTGCTGGTCAATGGTGATAGAATGGGAGAGAGAATGATAGAATCCTTCAAGGAGACTCACTGTCACCACTACTGTTTGTCATTGCACTGATTCCTCTGTCAACAATACTGAATAACTCAGGCCATGGCTATCAAACATCAAAAACATCTGCCAGGCTATTCCACCTCCTTTCCTTGGATGATTTGAAGATATATGGAAAAACACCATCTGAAATAGAATCGCTGCTCAACACTGTCTGTATATACAGCCAAGATATTGCAGTGGAGTTTGGACTGGACAAATGTGCCATGCTTACCATGAAACGGGGAAAAATAGTGAAAACCAACAGAATCAAGATGGCTGATTCCTCTTTTGACTCCGCTCCCAGGTTCTGCCACTCCTCTTACAGAAAGACACTTTCATCAGAAAAAAATATACAGGTAGTCCTCGACTTACAACAGTTCATTTAGTGACTGTTCAAAGTTACAACAGCACTGGAAAAAGTTACTTATGACCATTTTTCACATGACCATTGCAGCATCATGTGATCAAGATGCAGGCGCTTGGCAACTGATTCATATTTATGATGGTTGCAGTGTCCCTGGGCCATGCGACCATCTGACAAGCAAAGTCAATGGGAAAGCCAGATTCACTTAACAACCATGTTACTAACTTATCAACTGTGGCAAGAAAGGTCATAAAATGAGGCAAAACTCACTTAACAACTGTCTCACTTAGCAACAGAAATTTTGAGCTCAATTTTGCTCATAAGTCAAGGACTGCCTGTATTCTTTTGTTTTCTAAAATACTGTCCCCTTTATCCCTTTAAAACTTTCTTGAATCACAGTCTTGTTAAACTTTTTGTTTTTCAATTAAAATCCTTTAAGATAGCATTTTTTCTCTTAATCCCAAAAAGAAGACAACTCAGGGAGAATCTTTGTTCTCTGCCATTTGGAATGTCTCTCTTTGGTTGTAAAATTATATCACAATGTCTTTCAGGAAGTAAAGTTTTTGCCAGTCATATGTCCACAAAGGCTGCACAGTTTAGGGCACTTTGATATTCCCTCAGCTCCCAAGACACACAACTCATGACCAACCACAAGAAGCTCAGTTCCTGTGGTTTCCTCGTTAGGAGCAGCTATCCAGAATACAAATGGGTGATCCCATCAGCCAGTTGAAATGTCTAACTTGCCATAGGTCCTCACCCAGAACTCCCTGCCCATAGGTCCTCACTTTCTCCTCATTGTTGCTGCTTCCTTCAGTCAGCTACGTTTCACATTTTCTGTATACTTTTATCCAATATCTTTGTACATTAGCTTATGCCCATTTGAACTTCTAAATATATCTAGAAGAAATTGTGGAAAAATATCTTCTCAATAGACAATTTTCTTTAATCTAGATATAAAGTTAATATGCACTGTGTTCTTGACATTGAAAATGATGCAGCTTTTGTAACATTAGTGTCTTGGATTACAACTTGGAGTTTCATGTTTTTATAGTATCAATTCTTGTGTGTGTGTTCTCTCCTTACTATTTGAAGAACGCTCATATTTAATGTCAATTGTGTGTGTGTATCTGTGGTTGTGGCTGTGTGTGTATTTATTACAATATAGTTAATTGTTTTTTTCTCTCCTAGGTATACCCAGGACTGATGGTGACAGCTGGCCTTATACATTGGATCTTAAATATGCTCAATATAACTGTCCACATAAGAGATGTGTGTGTGTTCCTTGCCCCAGTTTTTAGCGGCCTTACATCAATTTCTACTTTCATTCTTACCAGAGAACTGTGGAACCAGGGAGCCGGGCTTCTAGCTGCCTGTTTTATTGCTGTTGTACCAGGTTACATATCACGATCAGTTGCAGGATCTTTTGACAATGAAGGGATAGCTATATTTGCACTACAGTTCACATATTACTTGTGGGTAAGTACTACTGTATAAATTCTGCTTACTTTTTTAAAAATCTAAATGTGCACAATAATTTCCTATTTTTTCTAATAGTCACTAAAAATAAATATAGCTAATACAGTTTTTCTACTGCCGTTTGCTTTTCAAAACAAATGAGTACATGGTTTCTAAGATAACAGCTCAAACATTTTTCTTGCATATGTTTCAAGGACCAGATGATTTTATAAGGTCTTTTTCTGATCTAGAAAAAATGGTAAATTCTGAAAAACATTCAAATAGAGTATTTTATAAGATAACCTTTATTGTCTTTTTTTTTTACTGTGAGCAGAGTAAAAAAATTGTATAATTGTCTTTTCTGCTATAATTAAAACTCAGACAACTTTCTTAGGTGAAGTCAGTGAAAACTGGATCTGTCTTCTGGACCATTTGCTGCTGTCTATCCTACTTCTACATGGTAAGTGGTAGAATGTGGATGTGTAAATGGTCAGATTTTTTATTAGTACACTGCTTTTATTTACACTGCACAATTATTAGGGAAGTGAGTATTTTGACCATATCATCATTTTCATGCATATTTTCCACCTCCAAGCTGTATAAACTTGAATGCTTAGTGGATATAAACATATCAGGTGATGTGTATTTGTGTAATGAGGGAGGGTGTGGTCTAAGGAGATCAACATCCTATATCAAGATGTGCATAACTATTAAACAGCTTCTTTTCCTCAGGCAAAATGGGCCAAAAGAAGAGGTTTAACTGACTCTGAAAAGTCAAAACTTGTAAAACGTCTTTCAGAGGGATGCAGCACTCTTGAAATTGCTAAGGTATTGGGGCGTGATCACAGAATCATCAAACGTTTTGTTGCAAATAGGGTCGCAAGAAACGTGTTGAGAAAGAAGACGCTCTGTAAGGTCCTGCCTTAGCTATCCCCTCAAAGTACAACTGAGGAAACGGGCATTGTTTCAAAGAAGATCTTTTACTGAGAGATAGTGATTGTAGAGAAAAAAGGTGGAATCTGAAGTTCCTGCACAAAAGCGTTAAGCTAAAAATCCCGTTTCTTCCGCCCCACCCCAATGCCCCAGTCCATCAGGAGCCAGTCCACTGGCGTGAAGATGTGATAACCGGCTGTTTCTCTGTTGCCTCGTCCTTGCCAACTGGCAGGAGTTAAACCAGATGGCCCCGAGAGCTTCCTCCCTTCCTAATTCCCATGCAGATGCATCAAAGTGAAAGTAAAAACAATGCAGGAACATCCCCAATCCACACTAGCGCATGATCCCCCTCCCTTTGCTAATGGCAGCGTTCCGATATGGACCTGACATGCTGCCCCCCTAAAAGAAGGGAAGATCCACCTGGAGAAGAGAGAAAATAATAAAGAGGGGATAAGAAATAGTGGTTAAATGTTAATTTAGGTTTATTGGGGTAGCGGTCATGAAAGTGTTTAATTAATCTAGGGGCTTTTACGTGATTCTTTTGCACCTACTCAGGCTGAGCTTTTCCATGTGACTAGATATTGGGTGGCCCCCCTGGTGTGTGCGTGAATCCAGGATTTCCTTAATCTCAAAACGCTGTTCTCCCTCCACCATAATATGTTCGGGAATTGGAGGGGGTGCTTGGCCTAAGGGGCGAGACCACCTCCGGTTTAAGGAGGCTGCAATGGAACACTGGGCGTCATCTTGTTGATAATTGATGAAACAACACAGGTATTGCTCCAATACTGAGTTCAATCGTTCTGTCCTGCCATTTGTCTATGGATGGTGACTAGAACTGAGTCCTTGGTCGGTTCCTGTCATATGTCTCTGAGCACTGAACACCTTGTACTTCTGGGCACTCCAGGTAGGTTGCAGTTCTGGAATATGACAGCACTGGAGGATAATGGGTTCCTGGTAGCTTCATGTTTGAATCTTCTCAAATCTTTGGCAGTTAATGTGCCTATTTTTTTCTCAACAGGTTACTTGCGACCCTGTTGATTATTTGCAACAAAAGATTTGATGGTTCTGTGATCAAGCCCCAATATCTTAGCAATTTCAAGAGTGCTGCATCCTTTTGAAAGACTTTTTACAATTTTTGACTTTTCAGAGTCAGTTAAACCTCTCTTTTGGCCCATTTTGCCTGAGGAAAAGAAGCTGTTTAATAATTATGCACATCTTGATATAGGGTGTTGACCTCCTTAGACCACACCCTCATTACACAAATACACATCACCTGATATGCTTATATCCACTAAGCATTCAAGTTTATACAGCTTGGAGGTGGAAATTATGCATGAAAATGATGATATGGTCAAAATACTCACTTCCCTAATAATTGTGCACACAGTGTAGATATTAAATGTTAGCACAAGTATTTTAAACTTGTTGAAAATTCAGATTTCATTTAAGCTGAACTAAATATTTCAAACTCTTCTTAGGGTAAGTCAGGCATGTCAAACTCGCGACGTCACGTGACGTCGCGCAACGTTTCAGGCCGGTTTTGCCATTGCCGGCAATGGGATGGGCGCGGCTTCCACATGACGCGTCCAGCCCGTGGGCCGGCAGTTTGACACCCCTGTGGTAAGTTATTATTAGATAATACAGAGATGAGTAATTTTTTCCTTTAAGTCTCTTATTCTTTCAGCTATAATGTGTTAGAACAGCGGTTCTCAACCTATGGGTCGCGACCCCATTTGGGGTCGATCGACCATTTCACGGGGGTCGCCAAGCAAGCCTGTCCGCCATTTTTTCCCCCTTTTCCGGCGGGCGCCTTACCTCCCTTGAGCTGGGCCAGCTGGTGGTCGGCCTGCTCCGTCTCTGCTGCTTGCCAGCTACGCCTCGGCCAGCGCAGGGGGCGGAACCACGCATGCGTGGCGCTCCCGGGCAGGGAAAGTCCTCGACTTACGACCGGTTTAGTTCTCGACTTACGACCGGTTTAGTCCTTGACTTACGACCGGTTTAGTCCTCGACTTACGACCGGTTGGGGGTCGCGACATTAAAAAGGTTGAGAACCACTGTGTTAGAAGCTGCATGATGGTTGTGGGCAGGCTAAAAATTAAAAGTCAACAATACTACTTTTCTCTTTTCCTCTTAGCCACCTGGCTTTGTGGAGGGCAGAGGTATTTTTAAAGTTAACTAAAGGCGGCACAGATGGTCACATCTGTTGTACTGAAATACACCTTCAGTGTAGAAAACTAGCATGCTTTTATACTACGCTATTATGACTGTTCTTGTGTTCCTGAGTTGGCATCCTCACAATGGTTTTCTTCCCCGCTTCCTTCTAGCAGTTTAAATATGTAAAGACCACAAAAGAAAAAACTTGGTTTTCTTTCATTTTAATTCAAAAGGGAGGAACGGGAGGATTCGAGGGGGGCGTTGTTTGTTTCAAAGGAAGGGAAAGAGGGGATTTGGGGCTGTGGGGGGCACGGCAGGCGAACGGTAATGGCACGCGGCTTCTGGCATTGTGGGTGCGGTTGTTTTAAAAGAGCAAAACAAGGCAAAAAATAAAAATACCCCATTCCACCCCCCCCAAGAGCTGGATGCAGATGTAATCTTGTTTTTTCTTGTTTTGATCCCCCCCTCCTCTGCCCTGTTTCCCTCCCCCCTCTCTTGGTTACTAATCACACTTCTCTGGCAAAGAGAAGTTAAGAAAAATTGCACTTAAAAAATGAAAATTATTATTGGATGACCCTGGGACACTGTGACCGTCATAAATATGAGTCGGTTGCCAAGCGCCTGAATTTTGATCATGTAACCCCGGGACACTGCGACCGTTATAAATACGAGTTTTGATCACATGACCCTGGGACACTGTGACCGTCATAAATACAAGTCGGTTGCCAAGGGTCTGAATTTTGATCATGTGACCCCGGGACACTGACCGTCATAAATACGAGTCGGTTACCAAGGGTCTGAATTTTGATCATGTGACCCCGGGACACTGCAACCGTCATAAATACGAGTCGGTTGCCAAGGGTCTGAATTTTGATCATGTGACCCCGGGACATTGCGACCGTCATAAATACGAGTTGGTTGCCAAGCGTCTGAATTTTAATCACATGACCCTGATGATATTTATGACGGTCACAGTGTCCCAGGGTCATGTGATTAAATTTCAGTCACTTGGCAACCAGCTCATATTTATGACGGTCGCAGTGTCCCAGGATCATGTGATCAAAATTCAGACCCTTGGCCTCTGACTCATATTTATGATGGTCGCAGTGTCCAGCTTTCATGTAATTAAATTTCACTATTCACTAAAGTGATAGTTAAAAATCTTACAGATAAACAAAAAAGCAATTACCGTATTTTTCGCTCTATAAGACGCACTTTTTCTCCCCCAAAAGGTGGGGGAAAATGTCTGTGCGTCTTATGGAGCGAATGCTGCCTGGAGCTGAAGCCTGAGTGCAGGGGAGGAGAGCATATACTGGCACTAGGTGGCGCTCTAACACAACACCATCGAGTATTGCTAGAAAGGAAGTCGCGGAGAGGAGAAG